AAATTACAAGGTCTTGGTGTAAATCAGGCTTGTCTTTTCTCCCTTCCCCACCTTTCCTGTAAATGATCATTCCCGCCTCCCTCCATGGCAGGTTATTCGGTGTGGAAAACATTCCATTCAAAGTGCTAAAATGAAAAAATCATAACCCTAAAGTATTTATGAACTTTTTTTTAACTTTTATTTCAAAATGTGCATTTTTTTTTTAAAAGAGGATTGCTACAAGAAGAAAATCTATGGTTATGAGCTAGTCCTGTGTGAAGCCCGTGGAATGTGGCGTCTGTAAAGTGTGGAGGAAACTACAGAGAGAAACTTAATGAAAAGCGATGACCAGAGGCTGACTATCCCCCTTTCAGCAGAAAGTCACCTCTTGCACATTTACGCGTTTTACCCTCCAGGAGAATACAGGGGGTCACCAACATATGAACATCCAATTACAAACGTTTGTACTTCCAAATTTGATCTCATGCAGGGGCGTAACTTTAAAGATTCGACATTTCCTGTACTTATGAATGGCATCTTTACATTGTCTTGCATTGTGTTCCGACTTGCACACAAATTGGTTTGAGAACAGACTGCAGAATAGAACTTGTTACCATACCGGGGACTGCCTGTACAAAAAAGGAATTAAAAACTGACTGCAACACTCGTCTGTGCATTAATGGCCAGATGTCCTAGTGTATGGACTAGAATACCGTGACAACCGCAGCTTTGAAAACAGCCATTTTAGACAGCTGCACACTGCAGGTAAAGCTAGGATAAAGACTCTTGTGACTCTGATGATGGAATTCAGACACTGTCGAAAGGAATCAGAACAACAGCATTTCTGCCTGCCCACAAAAGGAAGAATCTTCAAATTGACTGCTCAACTGCCAACATCAACACTAATCAATAATTTCTTGTCTCTTATTTTTCTTTTATCTTTTTGGACTCATCTCTTATTTCTTATCTGTATGCATGTTTAGATATTATTTCTTTTCATGTTTAGTAGTTAATAAATTCAATTCTTCATTAATTCAAGAAAGCCACTAAAACTGACTGCTTTTAAAACAAAAGTTCACTTGGGTTTGGGAAAGAAGCATCCCCAAGGCAAAGGGATCCTTTGCTAAATTAACCTTGTTGTGATCAAATGAGGGAGGGCAGGTGTGGGTGTGTGCCTGTGTGTGTGTGTCTTTTTGGGTGTGTGTCTGTGTGCGTGTATGCATGTGTGTGTGTGTTTGTGTGTGCGCACGCACACATGTGTGTTCAGTTCATCCTTCCTCAATCAGCACCTTAATGATTTGCAGTATCTCATCGGTATGTAAATATAGCAAATTGGGAAACGTCTCAGGATCTGGCCATAACAAATTTAAATGCCTCTTCAGAGTGGGGGAAGGTGGTGACCTCATGGTATTCTTGCTAAGCTATCAACTCAGATATCCACGTAATGTTCTGGGGGACCTGGATTCACAATCCTACCATGGCGGATGGTGAAATTTGCATTTCCTAAAAATCTGGAATTAAGAGTCTAATGATGACCGTGAAATGATTGTTGGGAAAAAGCCCACCTGGTTCACTGATACATTTTAGGGAAGGGAACTGCTGTCCTTACCTGGTCTAGCCTAAGTGTGACTCTATGCCCATAGCAAAATGGTTGATTCTTAATTGCTTACTGGGCAAATAAATGATGGCCCAGTCAGTGACATCCCAAAATTCTGTTCAACATGTTCACTTTCTACTTGAGAGTTACTGAATTGTGATCAAGAGCAACAGCGTTGGCTGAACTTTTTCCCTTCTAACCTAAAGGTGTTGAAGTCTATTTAGTCAAAAATCAAGCTCAAATACTCCTCCTCTATGTAGGTAATGATGGTGTATGGGATATCGATGGTAATTCATGTGGGTCAGGCATTGGTCTTTGAAGCAATAGATACAGCTGTGCATAAGGTATCAAATCTCGTTAACCTCAATTGCTACTGGATATTGGATTCAGGTTGTGGGATATTGCTGCAGACACATACCTTGATCACTTCAGATACATTGCTTTGGTTCATTAAATGCTACTGTTGAGTGTGTTACATTCTCAACAGCTTTAATGGTTCACAGCATTCAAAATAATGGTTCCTCTGTACGGTGTTAAATAATGGCTTCAAGCTAATTGACTGAAAAATCCACTCAGGGTTTGAGTTTAACTGATGCAGAACCTCTTACTGTCAGGACACACTGCACTTAATCAAGTGTGCAAAGCTTACATTCCACTTGAGAATATCCAAGACTGTGAAGGGCTATGTAAGGCATTTTTGGGAGCAATCCAGCAGCAATTAATACAGATTGTAGTACAATGTGCCTGGGACATTGATGTGTCTTGACTGTGACCTACATCAGAGTGTTGGGCACGCTGGCTGGTATATGCACTGATATTCATCTCTCACTAGGTGACTATTTTACACATGGAGGATAACGTTATCCAAGCTGATAATTAGTCATGGAAAAATATTACCATTATACTCACTGGACCAGATTTCCCCATCCACTTTGCAATCACATTGGGGTCATGAGCTCACACTTCACTGTGACGAGGCACTCAGTGGGGTAGAATCCTAATTGGCTGTCTCATGACAGGCTCTCGGTGCTGTAGGCCCAGTTAATGAGGTCAGGAGCATCAGCACTGCTGAGGCAAGACAGAACTGTGAGGGGGCCTCACGTGGAGCCAGCTCTGGTCTGTGTACAGCAGTACAGAAACGAGCAAGATGAAGGGTGACATGTCCATGAGGATGGAAAAAAACCTTTTTACTGCTGAGGCCCTGTGGATGGGTCATGTAGTGTGTGGTCCTGAGCCCATTTCAGTGAGACCTCCATCATTGAGCTTTTCTTAATTCATTTGTGGGATGTGGGCATCACCGAGTGGCCAACATTTATTGCCTGTCCCTGGGTGCCCTTGGGAAGGTGGTGATGAGTTGCCTTCTTGAACCACTGAAGTCCGTGTGCTGTGGGTTGACCCACAGTGCCATTAGGGCAGAAATTCCAGGATTTCGACTCAGTGACATTAACAAAATGGCAGTATATTTCCAAGTCAGGATGGTGAGTGGCTTGGAGGGGAACTTGCAGGTGATGGTGATCCCATGTACGTGCTGCTCTTGTCCTTCCAGGTGGACTTTGCATGTAATGGGTGTGTTGTGGATTGTTCTGTCACTGTCAAATGCTGAGAACGCTGCATAATTGCCCGATGTTAATTGGCTTCTTGCGCCATGGTACAGGCAGCTGATTCAATTCCCAATACGACTGGGGAATGTTTTCCAACAGAATGCATTGGGGAACCATGCTGCTCCCTCCTACTTTACCCACTGCCCCTCCAGGTGGGGAAAGTTCAGCTCATTGGTCTCACTCATTTTCTGTATTCTTCCAAAGTTTGTCTGCATTTAAATTACCCATCAAAAACATTTAGAGGATCATTTAAATTTCCGGATATATAATGGATATATGAGTGGATCACTCAATGTAGTGCTGCAAGTTAGTAAGGCCTTAAAAAAAACACAAAGGACAGTAATTCATTTCTGGAGGGGAGGAATTGAAAGTCACAGAAGTCATATAAAACTTAAGTAGACCCTTTGTCAAATTATGCTTGGAGTACTGTGCACAGTTCTGGTCTTATACGACAAGAAAGGATTCAGTGGCAGGGTTGAAAAGGATTCACAGGAAGGTTACTGGATCTGACAGAATATGCCTATCAGGAGACAATGAATAGATCAAGGGTCTTTAGAAGAGAGATGACTGAGAAGTGCCCTGACAGAGGTCATTAAAACTGTGACTATGTATCAAGAAAATTGTAGAGACGATGTTTTCATTTATGAGGGAGTCAAAAAGGAGGCGGTCGTAAATACAAAATTAATAACATCCACACAGAATAGAGGAGCAACTATTTTACCCAGAGGATGGTTATAATGTGCAACTTGTTGATTATATGGAACAGCTGAGGTGAATGTCATTAATGAATTTAAGGGAAAGCTAGATAGCCACATAAGAGAGAAATAAATTGAAACTCGGATTATTTTGCGCGTTAAACAAACATTGCTATTTGTAGATTCAGCTACCAGTCTGGAGTATCTCTGCACATTGTCTCTGTGACTGCTGGCTCCTTTCTCCAAGTAAGGGTCTTCAACACACATCCTCATTCTATTCTGGTGTCTTCTCTCTTACAGACGGCAGCGTCAGAACATCAGTTACATCTTCATGATTTAATTAATCTTCGTGCTAAACAGCGGAGGAGTCTTGAGGGGCTGAATTACCTACTCCAGCTCTTGTGTTCTTCTTAAATCATAATACTGATTCAACTAGCTGAAGGAATATGGGAGGAGGCTGATTTAGAGTCTAAACACTGACATTGACCAGAGGGGCTGAATGGCCTATTTCCATGATGAGTCTTTCTTCTGCTGGATTTGCATGTGAAAGAAGAATTACTGTCATTCAAAATAACTTAGTTTATTTGGAAACTTAAGGGCAGTTTCTGAAAAGAGGAGAACAGTGTTTTATAAATCAAACTTGTTCTCATTGATATTTCTTTCCATTCATCATTTTCTCTGTCCCTTTTATGAAGTAAATTGACTTTCAAGTGAACAGGTCACACGTCTGAACAAAGGCTTGTTCATTGTTTCACTTCCTCCATTGCAATAACAACATTTTTTTTATCAGGACTGTCAATTAATCACTTCTAACTTCTGCGGTTAATGTGCTCATTTTAAAGGGAATTTTTTTTAACATTAGTTAATCAGATGTTTCACAGAACGAGTACCTCGATAGCAATAATTTTCAGTCAATCAATAGCCTGGAAGAGAAGTTTGTTACAGCTCCCTCCATCTGATGACACATTGGATAAAATGAATTCTTTACACTGCTGCACAGTATCCTCACTTAAATTCAGAGCTGTAATTTAGATGTAATAGAATTAGTGACTCAATATGAACAAATGTGTTTGAACAATAATTTTAATAAACAATTGCTAAGCAATTATAAATGATTAAAAAGGGGAAGAAAGGCAAGGCGGCTCTATCTAAGCCAAAGAAAGGAAGATAAAAAATTCTATACATAGGAAGTAAGGAAAAAAAGACAACATTAAACCGCAAATGGTAATTCCAAATTAGTTTGTACATGAGAGCTCCGTAAAGTGGTGGATTTCCCCTTGGTACATACTTCACCAAGTCTCTGAATACTTTAACACGGGGATGGAATTTTTGGTCAGTCACTGTTGACATTCTTTCTTCTGTGGTCTTGAATGGTTGACACATCCACTTCAGCTGCAGCAGTGAATGCTGGGGGAATCCTCCCTTTCAGTCCTAATTCCTGGCTCCGTTCCAACCTTTCATGGCCCTCACCCAGACTTATTGAAACAACAGTCTGAAAACCATGAGTGTTTACCAAATTCTTCTCACAGGCACTGCTAGGCTTGCACCACAGAGCTCAGGCTGTTCATGCATCCTTTTGTTGGTGGTTCCCAGGTTAGAAAGTCTGCCTGTCAAGTTCCATCTCCTGACTCCACACCATAGTTAGCCAACATATCTGCAAGGTTATTCATTGTTCTGGCTGGTAGTTCAAGGGTTATTGAATACGGTAAGTACAGTTGCCCTTGGTTAAAAATGTCCACAGTTAATAATAAAACAAAGAACTGAGGATGCTGTAGATCCACAGTTAATAACATAAGAACATAAGAACTAGGAGCACGAGTAGGCCATCAGCCCCTCGAGCCTGCCCCGCCATTTAATAAGATCATGGCTGATCTTTTGGAGACTCAGCTCCACTTACCCGCCCACTCACCATAACCCTTAATTCCTTTACTGTTCAAAAATGTATCTAGCCTTGCCTTAAAAACATTCAGCGAGGTAGCTTCAACCGCTTCACTGGGCAGGGAATTCCACTGATTCACAACCCTTTGGGTGAAGAAGTTCCTCCTGAACTCAGTCCTACATCTGCTTCCCTTTATTTTGAGGTGATGCCCTCTAGTCCTAGTTTCACCTGCTAGCGGAAACAACCTCCCTGCCTCCACCTTATCTATTCGCTTCATAATCATATATGTTTCTGTAAGATCTCCCCTCATTCTTCTGAATTCCAATGAGTATAATCCCAGTCTACTCAGTCTCTCCTCATAATTCAACCCTCTCAACTCTGGAATCAGCCAAGTGAAGCTCCTCTGCACCCCCTCCAGTGCTAGTATATCTCTTCTCAAGTAAGGAGACCAAAACTGCACACAGTACTCCAGGTGTGGCCTCACCAGAACCCTATACAGCTGCAGCATAGCCTCCCTGTTTTTAAACTCCATCCCTCTAGCAATGGCAGACAAAATTCCATTTGCCTTTTTAATTACCTGCTGCACCTGCAATCCTACTTTTAGCGATTCATGCACAAGGACACCCAAGTCCCTCTGCACAGCAGCGTGCTGCAATTTTTAACCATTTAAAACATAGTCCATTTTGCTGTTATTCCTACCAAAATGGATGACCTCACACTTATCAACATTGTACTCCATCTGCCAGACCTTTGCCCACTCACTTAGACTATCTATATCCCTCTGCAGACTTTCAGTGTCTTTTGCACACTTTGCTCTACCACTCATCTTAGTGTCATCTGCAAATTTTGACACACCACGCTTAGTCTCCAACTCCAAATCATCTATGTAAATTGTAAACAATTGCAGTCCCAACACTGATCCCTGAGGCACACCACTAGCCACTGACCGCCAACCAGAAAAACACCCATTTACCCCTACTCTTTGCTTTCTACTGGTCAACCAATCCTCTATCCATGCCAATACATTACCTGTAATACCGTGCAACTTTATCTTATGTAGCAGCCTTTGGTGTGGCACCTTGTCAAATGCCTTCTGGAAATCCAGATACACCACATCCACAGGTTCCCATTATCCACCATGCAAGTAATGTCCTCAAAGAATTCCACCAAATTAGTTAAACATGACCTACCCTTCATGAACCCATGCTGGGTGATCCCAATGGGACAATTTATATCCAGATGTCTTGCCATTTCTTCCTTAATGATAGATTCAAGCATTTTTCCCACTACCAAAGTTAAGCTAACTGGCTTATAGTTACCTGTTTTTTGTCTACTTCCTTTTTTAAACAGTGGCATCACATTGGCTGTTTTCCAATCTGCGGGAACCACCCCAGAGTCCAGTGAATTTTGGTAAATAATTACTAGTGCATTTGCTATTTCCCCCATCACCTTTTTTAGTACCCTGGGATGCATTTCATCAGGGCCAGGAGACTTGTCTATCTTTAGCCCCATTAGCTTGCCCAGCACTGCCTCCTTAGTGATAATGATAATTTCTAGGACCTCATCTGCTATAACCTTCTTGCCATTAGTTTTCGGCATGTTATTTGTGTCTTCCACTGTGAAGACCGACACGAAATAACTGTTTAGTGTCTCGGCTATTTCCTCATTCCCAGTTATTAAATTGGCCTTCTCATCCTCTAAAGGACCAATGTTTACCTTCGCCACTCTTTTACGATTTACATATTTATGGAAACTTTTGCTGCCTGTTTTTATATTCTGAGCTAGTTTACTCTCATAATCTATCTTACTTTTCTTTATAACTTTTTTTGTGGCTTTCTGTTGGCCTTTAAAGATTTCCCAGTCTACTAGTTTCCCACAACTCTTTGCTTTTTTGTATGTGTTTTTTTTAGTCTGATACTTTCCTTTATTTCCTTAGACATCCATGGCAGGCTCTCTCTTTTCCTACAGTTCTTCCTTATCACTGGAATATACTTCTGCTGAGCACTGTGAAAAATCGTTTTGAAAGTCCTCCACTGTTCCTCAATTGACCCACCATAAAGTTTTTGCTCCCATTCTACCTTAGCTAGCTCCTCCCTCATTCCTTCATAGTCTCCTTTGTTTAAGCACAGGACATAGGTACTGGATTTAACCTTCTCACGCTCCATCTGTATTTTAAATTCGACCATACTGTGATCGGTCCTTCCGAGAGGATCCCTAACTGTGAGATCATTAATTATTCCTGTCTCATTACACAGGACTAGATCTAGGATAGCTTGCTCCCTCGTAGGTTCCATTACATATTGTTCATTAGTGATTATGTAATGGATTGATAGTTCCATGTCTACAAAGTCATACTCTAAGAAAATAATTCAATACCGTTTCTCCTAAAATCAAGAGCAAAACAGAAGTAAAATGCAAAAGAAATAAAATTGTAAAAATTAGTAATTGTGGGCTATAGGCCTATACGATACAAAGTGATCAATTGCCACATGATCAAATCTCCAGGAATGCATTAAACTAGAATTATGGCATAGTAATGAGTAAAAAGTCACTGCGGTACATCTTGATTGGTCCATCAACTAGCAAATTTATGAGTAAAGTCTAGGTGGGTCAGGGGCTGCTGCCATTTTGAAAAGGTCCAAATGGCATCCAGTGTCCTTACTTGATTTGAGCACTAGGCTGCTTGTAATGTGGAAATCAGGGTCTCAGGGTGAAAACATCATTGGCATTGTTGCTGGGCTCACATTCACCAGTCCCATGGGGTATTGACTGGAGGAAAGTGACCAATCATTTTTGGAGGCTTCAACAGCTGAAAGGTGAAACGACTTGCAATTCCTTTAATGATGTAAAATGCTTTAGACTGCTTTGCAAAAGTTATCAAGTATCAATTTGACCGCAAGTCACATAAAGAGATTAGGACACACAGCTAAACTCTTAGTCAAAGAGTTAGGTTCTAAGAAAGGTCTTGGAGGAGGAGAAATGCAAAGAGGTTTAGAATGGGAATTCTGGAGTCATGGGAATTGAAGGCATGGCCACCAATGTTATTAAAACTGGACATGTGCAAGAGGTCAGAATTGGAAGAATGCAGAGATTTCAAAGGATTGTAATGCTGAACGAGTTTGGAGAGATCATGAGGGACAAGGCCTGGGAGGAATTTCACAATGATAAAAATCTTAAGAAGTTTAAACTTGATGTCTTGCTGGGCAAGAAAGTGATATAGGCCAATAAGAACAGGGAATGGCGGTTAAACAGGATTGTGGAAATGGTACAAGACAATGGAGACATCAACAAATTTTTTCCCAGCTTACTTTCAATTGTAGTCATATTGTGAATTTAAAGAGTTTTGTTCCAACTCTCAATGAGTATAAAGCAACCTGAGATTAAAAAATGTTTTGGCTGAACAATTTCATAAATGGCTTGACAGTCCTGGTTTTTGAATATAAAAATAGACTTTTGAAATAAAAAGGCTTTTGAAACAAAAGACCTTTTCCACTTAACTGATCAACTACATGCTATGTATTTTGTTCCCCTAGACTGTGACTCAGTCCTATTAGCCTCAGGAGTTGTATCCAAAGAATAACATTCCTTTTGAATTCCGGGTCAAACATCCCACACACTGAGATAACAAGGTGCAGAGCTGGATGAACACAGCAGGCCAAGCAGCATCCGAGGAGCAGGAAGGCTGATGTTTCGGCCACACTCTGTTGCTTCTCCCCACACCCTTGCTCAGTATCAATTGTGTGGCTAGAGGGAGAGGCCATTAAGTAATTTTGGTGTTCCTGATAAGGGCTTCTTCTTCTCCTGGATGGGAAAAAGGCAGGATATTCAGCAAAGTATGTCACAGCACTCTTCCTGGCAGTGATGAAATATGCTTTGCTTGCTCATGAGATCAGCAGATTTTTCACAGAAATTTATTCTGTCAGGGCGTTGAGGGAATTTCATGCAGAAACCATCATTGCTCTATGTATCATAAATCCACCCACTCATGTCCTCTGTGGATCTCATTCTTTTTGCCGTGGTGTGCTGCTTGTGGCTTCATATCACTTCTCCCCAGATGTTTTTAGGGTTATACTGCTCTCACCAACTGTTTCTGAGATTACACACCTTCCTGTCCAGATATTGCAGAATCCTCCCCTAATCCCAACTATCTACCCTGCCGACGAGAAGCCTCACACCTGTCTGAGGTGCACAGACATAGTCCAAGGTCTTCAGGTAAAGGATACAGCTCACAAAATAGTTTCAGGTGAAAAAATGGTGCAACACAGAGCAAATTCTTCCCCTATAATTCAGCGTCGTACGAAAAAAAATGAATTGAACGTGGGTAAACTAGTTCTATACAATTGTCATAAGTCACATCACACCAGTTTATAGCCCAGCAAGTTTATTTAAAGTGGACTTCACCTGACGAAGGAGCAGCGCTCCAATAGCTTATGATTTTAAATAAACCTATTGGACTATAACCTGGTGTTGTGTGACTTCTGACTTTGTCCACCCCAGTCCAACACCGGCACCTCCACATCACTGGACATTTATGGACAGATTCCAGACACTTTAAGGCAATTCCTAAAATATAGAAACATTAAAGACACCCAATAGACAATTTCACAGGAATACTGCCCTTTATAATACACACAAACACAGATGCACACATACATTCACTCACATAGATGCTCACATTGTCACACTCACACTCACTTATGAGGAACAACAGGCCATCATTAATGTGGGCAGTACACAATCATTGGTTTGGCAGTAGAGAATCACAGTGTCCGGCAGTCATGATCATACAGGTGGGCAGTAACCATCACTGTCTGTGAATGACCGACACTGTGTTGGGCAGT